AGCTGCTCAGACAGGACCCAAAGGGCAGGGCTGGGCCAGGGGTGCCACGGGAGGCTCTGGAACCTTGGCAAGGTGAGAGCACAAAGGGGGGAGGCCGTGCTGGAGCCCAGGATGGGAGCACAGAGTTCCCATGAAAACCATCCCGGGCAGCAGGAGCCCCACCCTGCACTGCCAGCAGTGCCCTGCCGGGGACACAGGGGACACAGGGGACACAGGGGACACAGGGGACAGCACTGCAGAGCTGAGGGGAAACTCCTGCAGCTCACATCCCACAGCCCCAGCAGGGCTGGGGAGGGCTCAGGGCTCTGAGGAACAGCAGCTCCCTCTGAGACACACAAATCACCTCTGCCATCTCCTGCTGAGCTTTCTACAACCAAACCAAGGGGCTGAAAGCTGCCAAAGCCAGGTGGCAAAGGCAAACCATGAATTATCATCTCCCACTATAAATAATAAACAGACATTAAAACATGAGCAATTTCCAGCCCCTGACATTTGATCATGCTTCAAGTGGAAACAAACATTAATTTTAGTCTCACATCTGTTATTTCTGGTGACTTTTATGGATGTGGTGCTGGTGCAGAACAGCCTGGAGCAGGCTCTGCTCTGGACCAGGACCTTCCCCCACGTGGTGACATCCAGAGGAGCCCTTTGTCACCTTTGTCACCAGCCCTGGCAGGAGGGACAGGGGGACCAGGCTCCTCTCCAGGGCCAGGGGCTGAGCTGGGGGCTCAGACACAGCCATTTCCTCACACTGCCACCTTTTTTCTGTTTTCCCCTTCTCAGGGGATTTTTGTTTAGGATTCCCTCGTTTTGCACAATGGACCCAAGGTGAAAATCCCAGGAATGCCACACAGCATTCCTGGTCCCCTGAGAGTGGCATTTTGGGAGAGGGATCCCAATGCAGCAGCAGAGATTAAAGCACCCTTGTACATCCCCAATCCCTGGCACCCAGTTTTGGATCCCCATTACCCTGGATTTATTCCCATAAACCATTCCTTAGTTTTTTTCCCAAACTTTTTGAAAAGCAGAACAAAGCCCAGTTCATGTCACTCAGCAGCCACACCTCCAGCACAGATGATCTGAAGTCTTGGGATCAAACAGAAAAGTCCCCCCAGGGCAGGAGGAACTGGACAGAAATGCTGCCAGCAAAAGATCTCATGAGGTGGCAGCCAAAAGTTCCCAAATTCCCAACACTCCACCAAAATTCCTTTATCTTTTGCTGTCTGGCTCCAGCAAAGATCTTTATTTCTAAGCTAAGGGATTGCTTTGGCTTCATCTCAGAAGAAATGTGATGTAAATGCACATCAGGAGCCACCACACGTTCCCTTGTCAGGACATGGGCTGAGCCTGGATAATTGGAAACTGGAGCCCTTCAGAGAAGGTGCAGCTTCATTTAGCCTCAGAGCCTGCAGCTTAATTGCAATAGAAACTCCTTCCCCAATTTTATAGACAACTGAATTATAGATTACAATATACACACAGGCAATCCAGGAATTATTCCAGGTCTCGAGACTGTAATAAAACCCTGTGTTTTCTAGAATTGATAGAAGGAGCAGATGAAGATGATGAATTTAAATTTTGATGTGCACACACACACACACACACGTGTGCTGTGGCACAGCAAGAACAAGAGCCTGAACAAAACCCCATTTCTGGCAGGAAATCTCCCACACACACACACACACACGTGTGCTGTGGCACAGCAAGAACAAGAGCCTGAACAAAACCCCATTTCTGGCAGGAAATCTCCATTCAAAGAGGATTTAACATCCAAGCGCTCTGCGAGGCTGAGTCAGAGCTGCCTGGCTCCCACCTCCAGCGACCTCAGCACGTCTTTGATTAGAGACACTCTTGTAGCAATTGTTAATTAATTAACATACCACAGCCATTGTTTATGCAGTGGCCTGAGGTGGCCTCAGTCTCCTCCTCATCCCCAAACCTGTGCACACCTCTGGCACTCAGCTGCAGCCCCAGGAGTTTCCTTCTTGCTCCCCATCTCCTCGAGACCACAAAACCCCAAACCCCAGCACATTTTGCCCAGAGCTTTCAGAGGAAGTTGCACCCAGTGGTGAATCCTTTCCCTGAACACCACTCTGACACACGGGGTTTGTCTCTGCTCTGTCAGTTAGAAACTGTATTTTTCTTTTGGTCCAATGAGTATCTCTGAAATTCAGCTTTATACAAATTACCACTCACTCCCCCCCCAGCTGAGAGGAGATAATCGATTTTTCCCCTATCAAATTAGCACAATTAAAAACCTTAACAGTGCTGCTGAACCTGGCTAGCCCCGTGTGGAAGGGCTGGCAGCACTGAGAGGCTTTTTGAAAACAGGCAGAAGTGGCCCAGGACATGGGAGCTGATGTGATCTCACCCCATTTGTGACGAGGTGCCCACACCGTGCACACCCAAACCCTTCCCTGGTGAGACCTGACACTTCCTACACCCAGCCTTGTGCTCTCCTGACCCCTTCCAGGACACACCAACCCGCATAAAATTTGACTTACTTCTCTATTAAATCCAGCGTGACTCCTGGCACCAGCCTGACACTCTTCTGCATGCAGAACCTGGGGAGAGGCAGGAAAACAGAACACACTAATTGAGTGTTTAATGACAGAGCTCTGTGAGAGCACGCACAACGAGGGCTCTTCATTGCACTGCTGCTGCTTTTACCGTGGTGTTTGGGTAGGAAACCTCAGCACAGCACAAAGGAGCCTCTCAGCATTTGTCACCCTGGCGATTCGGGGACATTTCCATTGCCAGGTGTCAGAGCCGGGCCATTGTAGCTGTCGGGGTGACAAGTGTTCCAGCACACCTCGGGGAGGGGGAAAAGGGCTCCCAGCACCCAGCACAGCCTCTGGGGAGCAGCACAGGAGCAGGGAGGGTTGTGCTGCTGGAATAATGATCAGCCTGGGCTTCCCTGCGAGATCCGGCACTGCAGGCAGGCACGGCAGAAGGGAGGAATGCGTCAGGTTCAGACACCTCCGTTATTTCATTAAAAAAACTGCTGACTCCATTTCCTCAGCCTTACAAATCCCACTACTCCAGGAACAGCAGCCCTGGAGTCCTGTCAGAGCGCCTGGAAAATCCCCAAAGCTGCTAAAGCAGGAGTGTGTGGGAAGGGGGAACGCTGCCTCCCTGAGCACAGGGCAGCACTGGGAACAGCTCTGGGATGGAAACCCAGCAATTCCAGCCTGGAATGAGCTCCTCTGCCAGCAGCACATGCCCAGCCTGCTGCCCCAGCCCTCGGGAACCCACTCTGCTGTTGGAGGAGGAGTTCACCCCTCGGAGCCATCTCAGACACCTGCCCTGACACTGCAGGGCTCTGCGGGCTCCAAGGGCCCAGCAACCCCATCCATGTCCAGAAGGGTTGTCCCCAGATAAAGGGGACAACAATTATTCATTAAAGACAGGACGTGCAGGGCTCATTCCTGACATCTTGAGCAGCACTGCAGTTTTCCTGTGGGCATCCCCCGGAGCCCAGGGCTGGGACAGGCTCTGGACACTCACGGTCCCCAGGCTGCTGTCCTGATGTCTGCATCATCCAGCACAAGGAGAGGCCATAAAGAGCCCAGGAGCTGCAGTGGGATCCCTGTGCAATCTGCTGAAACATAAAATCCTCTAACGCAGTGCACAACAGAACCATGCAGGGAAATTCCCCCCTAAGCAGCTCCAGGCAGAGTGAGCCTGGCAGAGGCAGGACCCTGGGATGAGGCTGGACAGTTGAACCCTTGTTAACAGTTTAACCCTTGTTACCAGTTTAACCCTTGTTAACAGTTTAATTGTTGGACAGTTGAACCCTTGTTAACAGTTTAACCCTTCTGATGGTGCCTGCAAGGACCAGGAGAGCAGCACAGCTCTGCAAGGTGACATCTGCTGCCTCTAAAGAAGGGTCCCAGGCCAGCTTGGAGCCACCTGGGATTGTGGAAGGTGCTAATACTCCCAGATTAGAGAAGATAAAAGGAAGAGCTCGGAGACCAGGTTGGACAGGACTTGGAGCAGCCTGGGACAGTGGAAGGTGTCCCTGCCCATGGCACTGGATGGGCTTTCAGGTCCCTCCCCACCCAAAGCCAGAAATGCAGGAAATGCTGCTCAGTGTCAGGGGAATATTTTGAAACTCAGTGTTGTTTGTCTAAACCAATGTGGGACAGAGGATTGGCTGAGTTAACCCCAAAATGTCAAGCAGAAATGCAAAATAAATACTTTAGGGAAACCCCCACAAAGCACTTTGAACAGAATGCAGCAGAGGGTTTGGTTTTGCATTTGTTGTGTTTAACATCAGTAAAAACCAATGACCCACAGCAGCACTCATTATTTACAGGATTGCAGGGATAAAACCACACCTGCAATAATGGGAACACAAAAGGATCATAACCTTCAGCAGAGAATGGAACTCCTGAGAGTGCAGTGAACACCACACAGTCACTGAAGAGGGAGGGAATTCTCCACTATCCAGGAGTTCCCATGGCACCTTCCACGTGCTTCCAGCTGAGGCTGAGGTGTTTAAAGCCTCCCCCTGAGCAGTTCCACAAACACCTTTCCTGTCAAACACCCTGAGACACAACTCACAGCATCTCTCCTGCTCGTGCAGGTGTAGCCTGTGCACAACCTGCCCTGCTCACCCCCTCAGCCACGTTCCCATGGAGATGAGGAACAGAAAATTCCTGAACAGATCACAGCATCCAAAAAAAAAAAAACCAACCCTTTCTTAGCATATCTAACAAACAAAAGCCACCAAAAAAACTCTCCTAGAGAACTGCACACACCCAAACCAGAGCCTGGCCACAGGAACTCGCTGTTTGCTGCTAATGGGAAACAGAAGGAGTTTAAAGAATTGGAATCAATCACAAATATCTCCAAAGGGCAGGGAGCAACTCTTGGAGCTGTGGTGACAATTTCTCACCACCACCTGCAGTGTTCCTGGGCCTCTGCCTGTTCAAAGCCTGTCCAGAAAGTTCCCTGAAGCTTCTCCATCCTGGACCAGGCACAAACTGCACCGACTTGAGAGGAGCAGCTGGAAGAGCCTCTGGGAATGGAGCTCTGGGGGCTCCAGACTCGGGTCCCTGCTGTTGGGTAAAACTCTGCTCCTGCTGCCTGGAGCAGCCTTTTCCAACCTTCTGCCTAATTAACTTGGGCTGTCATTCCAGAACATCTTTCCCTGGTTTATCACTCCCTTCCTCTCACTCCAGCACTGTTTAAAGCTACTGCATTATTTACAGCAAGCACAGTATTTGGAATGTGATTTGTGCAAAGGACAGTTTACAGAAAGTTGTATTGCACTCTGTACCAGTGCTGCTCTCTGAGGAAGCAGATATCTAATTCCCAGAACAGCAAATCCCTTAATCTGAGCAAACCTAGATATTGAGCTGGAAACTAAAATGCAATAAGTAGAAGATAACAATATTTTCACCTTTCTAGTTCTCATTAATAAGCTGCTGTCCCCAGTGCCCAGTTCAAACCCTGCTGTTCAATAGTGCAGGGCAGCTCTGGGTCAGGGGCAGGTTAACAAAGCCTCCTGTGCCCATGCAGGGGTTCAGGGGGTACAGGGGGTGCAGAGGGTGCAGGGATTCAGAGGGTGCAGGGATTCAGAGGGTGCAGGGATTCAGAGGGTGCAGGGATTCAGAGGGTGCAGGAGAACAAGGGGTGCAGGGATTCAGTGACTCAGGGGTGCAGTGGGTTCAGGGGTTCAGGGGTTCATGGATTCAGTGACTCAGGAGGTTCAGGGATTCAGGGGTTCAGTGATTCAGGGGCACAGGGGGTTCAAGGGGTTCAGAGGATGCAGGGATTCAGGGGTTCAGTGATTCAGGGGCACAGGGGGTTCAAGGGGTTCAGAGGATGCAGGGTTTCAGGGGTTCAGTGGATGCAGGGATTCAGGGATTCAGTGATTCAGGGGTTTCAGGGGTTCAGGGGGGTCTCACTCACCAGCGCAGGGCGATCTTGATGGGGGTGGTGAGGCAGGAGGTGAACAGGTCTGCAGGCAGGTCTGGGATCATGGGCAGCAGCTCGTTGGCCTCACAGGCTGCCAGCTGGATGCAGTTCTTCATGGAGGGGGGCAGGGGCATCTGGGCAAGGGGGTGGTTGGGGTTGATGGCAGCCACCTGCAGAGAACAAGGGAATTCCAGAGGGGAGTCAGGAATAACCCAGGGAGAGCTGCCAGGGCTCCTGCAGCTCTGGTCTGGAGCTCCTGGTGACCATGGCAGCACAGCTTTAACTCCCCTTTAATGAACAGCACTCAACTGCTACATCCAGAGTGAGTCTAGAAATACCCTGTAGAGCAAACCTCAGTCTGTACAGTAAAAATGTCCTATAGACCAACATTCCCATTCTCCAAAAGCACAGGGATTCTCCTGTTTAAGATTTTGATTAAGAATATGATCTCTGAGACTAATAATTCAGGGAGTGAAAACATAAATAATCTTCCCAGCACCTTTCTGAACCAGGTAAACAAAGTAAACTTCAGCCACCAAAGTTTCTTTCCAACATCTTGCATTTTTTTCATTAGGGCAAGATATGGAATCAGAAGGTGAGAATCCCTCTGGCAGATTAAGGGAAGAGCAAATTCCTCTGATCCCCTTGCAGGGAAATGGGGAACAATTATCCTGATCACTCTGGCAGCCCCTCTGGAGCACCAGTTGCAGCTTTGCTTCACTTTTCATGAATTTGAACAATTGGATAATTTGTAATTTTCCAAATGAATTCCCCTCCACGCTCTCATGACTGTGAGCACTCTGCTGTCTCTGGCAGCAAGGCTCTGCTTCCCTTTCCCCACGAGCAGGAACCTCAGTCAGGCACCAGGAGTTCCTGAAAGCCAAGGACAGAATGAAAAGCTGACACATAACCCTGGAAGTTTTCCTAACCAAATTAAGTGGCAGTGTTAACCTGTGCTGTGCCATGTTAACCCCACACACGCCACAAGATGAAGAATCCCAGGGGAGATGGGATGGAATGTTTGTTGAAATAAAGATCTGATCCCTTGTGCTCATCCTTCCCTGCAGAGGTTTTCCTGAGCAGAGCTGCCCTGGGGCTGCTCCCTCCCACTGCAGCCTCCAAATCCTGGAGCTCAGCACGAACAAGGGGAAAAGGGAATGGGTGAAAAAGGGGGGACAGGGAAGGGGAAGCCTGACCTGCCCAACCTGCTTGGGAACAAAATGAGAAACCAAAACGCTGGAGAGAGCACTGTGTGAACTATTAGCACTTCGTGTAAACAAAGGAGAAAGGGCCCAGAAACGTCCCAGTGGAAATCCCAGGCTGACAAAAAGGATATTCAGACCCCTTTCCTCTGACATCCAAAGGCATCTGCCACCAATTCTATTCATCCCTGTCTGGCAGTGTCATGTTCTTCCCAAGCCACAGACTATGGGAAGTTTCTTCTTGTTACAAAATATGGAATCATTTTATGGAAGAGAAGGAATAATGAAATGATCTGCATATCCCAGGCTATCAGGCTGTCTGCTTCAGCACAATGGAATTTCCACCTGCCAAAGAGCCCCCACTAAAGCACCTCCAAAAACTGGAATTCCAGAGGAAAGGACTGACAGGCAGGGACACTGAACATCTGTTTGGAGGTTGTATTTGTGACACTCAGTTCCCTGATTAATTAATATTCCTTCCTTGAAGTTTGGGGGTTTCTAATCCAGTGTCCTACAAGTGTAAGAAGTGAACCTTCAGCAATGTCCTTTCCCTGTGAGCAGCAGGGGGAGGCTGCACAGAACATTCCAGCTCCTTTCCTTCCACTTTGCATTTCAGATTTGCTTCAATGCATTTATTACTAATTCCATTTGCAACCAAGGACAGCTTTTCATTGGGAACACATTCCACACTCTGCAGAGCTGGAACCACCAAGACAATCCCTGTGTGGATCAGGTTTTTGTTGCTTCACATTTTTGCATTCACTTCAGCAGCACAAAACCACAACTGCATGGAAATCCAGCCCCAGATACCAGAGTTTTGCAACCCAAATAATGATGTCTTGCTCACCTCAGCATTCATCTCAGCAGAAAAGACCATTAGGGCCCAAATTGATTCTATTAACATTAACATTTAATTAGTGCTTGTATTAAAAATCATTCCCAGTTTAATGGGATAGCAAACTGAACCAGAAAGATCAGAACGGCGAAGTTATTTGCAAATTAATTTGCCTTCCAACACAGTTTTAAACACATTTTTCTGTGTACACAGCAAAGCAAAGCAAGCTTCAACTTCCTTTGTGTGGAGCCAAGGCCAGCAGAGCCTCTCACCTCCAGCTCCTGCTCTCTCTGTAGTGCAAATTGCTTGAAGGACTTGACAATGAGGCCGGCGTTGGAGCAGTCGTAGACGAAGATGGAAGGGCTCCCCATCCACGTCTGCAGGTCGTAGATGGACAGGGGGATGTACTGGGTGTAGTTCTGAGGACAAAAACACCACTCCAGTCACCAGCAGCACAAGTGGGGCAGCTCCTGAAGTACACCCACAAACACAACTCTGACAGCCCCAAATAAAAACTATTAATGAATGCAAATCTCAGTCAGCATCCACCAATAAGGAGGATGTGAAGCCAAGCACAAGCAGATTTTATTGTGGTGCTATTTGAAACACCCAACTCTTAAAAAACAACAACAAAAAAAAAAAGCCCAAAACTTTGCCAAGAGTTTTCAGTATCAGATATTTGGAGCTCTGATATGTGCTAACAACTCCAAACAGCATTTAATAGTCCAATTTTATCCCAAATTTCTGCAACACTGATAAAGGATGCAAACCAGCTGTCTTTAATTTAACATCAAACATCTTAAACTGAAAACCCCATCAATAAATCAGGATGGATAATTAAGCCCCTGCAGCCCATCAGCACTACCCTGCCTGAGCCTAACGAGATGCTTCATAATTTTATTACAGCTTTAGCTTCTGTGCAACTTTTCAAATTATCCATTAAAATTAAAACCAACAAAGCTGCCTTCAACAGAGTGAAGTGCCCACAGTTCCCTTTCTGTAAATAAGGAGGATCTTGTTCCTTGTCTTCCATCTTAATGAACGCCCCCAAATAACTGGAGGCAAGAGGAGAAAAATCAGCCATTTAAAACCAGCTCTGAGGAGCCAATCCTGAACCAAGTGAGCTGAAAATACAAAGCACAGATCCCTGCCTGCAAAGAGCCACCACCAAAGAGCCAGTGGCTGCCAGCAGGATCCTTCTCAGCTGCAGGCAGAGGGCAACCTGGTGTTCCTCCAACCCTGAGCTCAGCCCAAAATCCTCAGGAAAAGCTGTGATGTTCCTATTAACATCAGCAGGATGATGGATGGGATCATAATTCTCATTTAAATTCAAGAGACTTAAAATAGCTGTAATAAAACCAGTAAACTTTTTACAAAAATCCAATTCTCAAGGACACATATCAGCGTTGATAAAGACAGGAGGGATCATAAACCATGTGTTACATAAGGCAGGGAGGGGCAAGGCTTCCCCAAACCCACCTTTGCCCATGTCTAACAGTTTGGGATGTTTCATTAAAATTAACAGGGAGAACTGTTGATAAAAGCCGAAGTTTTAGGGAGCTGGAGCTCTGCAAATCCCTGCAGGGTGGAATGAGCATGAAGAGCCCATCCTTTCTTAAGGTCACCACTCAGGGGAGGCACATCCCAACCCCAGCAAGTTCCACATAAAAATCCTGCTCTGACACATCTCATCAAGGACATTTTATGGGCAGGCATTGTTTTACCTTTCTGTTTCCAGTGCACCTTGCTGCAGCTCAGATGGGATTATGGCTCTGATTAACACTGTGGTATTTCCAACCTGAAGAATTTTATGTTCCAACTCCACCGTGGGGGTCACATAAAACATCCAATTTGCTAATGATATGTAAATGAGGTGGTGTGAAGCAAGAAGGGGTGTTAGAGCAGAGCTCTGCAGAGCAGCTGCTCAGGGTGATGCTTTGATGCCACACTGGGTTTGTTCCCTGGCCTGGGCACCAGGAGAAGTCAATCCCTGCTCCAGCTCTGCTCCCACCACCCCTCTGTGCCTCTTCCTGGGAATGGCACAGCAACAGCTCAGCTGGAAACTGCTCCTGAACAGATTTCATCCCCAATTGTCTGGTGAACATCTCAGACATATTTATAATTTGCAGAGAAGCTCCTCAAAATGTCAGAATAAACATGGCTGAGGTTGGGGCGTGTTGATTTTTCTCCTTTTGAAGCCACGTTGAGATTTGCTCAGGAAACAGCAGCTCAACTGGAACATTACCCCTTACTCACACAACAGAATAAAGACATGAAAAATGTTATTGCAGCCTCAACGTGTGGCCAAAGGCCAGAAAATGCCAAATTAACCAGTTCCAGGGACTGCCTTGATGCTCTCTTGGTATGTGCACACTGAGAGTGAGTCAGAGCAGGAACAATTCTGAGTTTCCACGCTCCCCTTCCATCTCGATGCCAATCATTTATTATTTCAGTGCACGGGAGAGGAGCCCCCCTGGTGCCCCACAGGGCAGGGACAGCCTGTGCCACACAGCCTCAAAAACACAAAGAGAGCAAACAGGCAACTAAATACCTGGGAGTATATCCTAAACCTGGATGGGACAATGGGCTCAAACTGAGAGAGGGGAAACTCAGGGTACAAAGTGGAAGAAATTCCTCCCAGTGAGTGTTGCATACAGGTAGAGATTTATAATAGAAATGCATTATAAAATATGGGTTAGGCCCTGCTAGCTAAGCTAACAACTGACTTGTAAGTTCCCATGTGAAAGAATCAGAAGAATGAAAGTCAGCACAATAATCTATTCTGGTAACACCTGCAAAAACAAGAAATCTGTCCCATAAGAATCAGTGAAAAAAATATGTAAACATATATAGCAAATTTGACAGAGATATCCAATAGCCCTTACCAGCCAATAAACTGAGTTTCACTGCACTGTTAACCAGTTAAGTTTAACAGGATACCTTCTAAAATTTCCTATAAATATGAACTATATAAATGAAGAATGGGCTTTTCATGAAGAAATTGAGTCCCACCTGCTCATTACTACAAGTGAGGGTGGGGAGGGGCCTGGCACAGTGGAGCTGTCAGGGCTTGGGGTGGGACCCCAAAGTGCCCCCAGACAGGGAGTCCCACAGGGAAGAGCCTTTCCTGGTGTCCCAGGCACATCTCAGCCAGGCACCAGGATGCAAGCAAAGCCTGGAGGGCAGCTGGCAGCTCCTGTTGGCATTTCAGCCTCGTCTGCAAAGTACCTTTGGCCAGCAGAGGAAGGAGACTGGGATAGGAGATTCTGCAGACATTTTATTTCTTCCATGAAGGGCTCCAAGGCAGCAATCAGCTGGACAGGGGGTTTTGTAGGGTTGTGGTGACTTGGAAAAAGGACCAATAGCTAAAGGGTTTGGGGAACTGTCCAAAAATTTCATGGGGCGATAAAGCAGGGTGTTTGCAGGGGGAAATATTTCCAGTATTAGTCGTTCTAAGTAAGCAATTTCTGATGTAAGCTACAGCTTAGATCTCTGCTCCTTCCACAGCACAGAGCAGCTGTGGGTGTCCCTGGCAGTGCCCAAAGCCAGGCTGGACTCTGGGATTAGGGTTGGACACTGGGTGTCAGTGCCCAAAGCCAGGCTGGACACTGGGATTAGGGTTGGATATTGGGTATCCCTGGCATGGCTGGGGGGCACTGGCCATGTGTGAGTGCAGGACTGAGCAGTCAGCAGGGCAGGGCCGGGCAGGGCAGGGCAGGGCAGGGCAGGGCAGGGCAGGGCAGGGCTGAGCCACTCCCACCTTGTTGAAGACCCAGATCTCGCCGTTGACCGTGGGCCGGGGCACGCCGTGCCCGTTGTAGTGGAACAGCACACGCTCCTCCTTGGCGTTGCGGCGCAGGGACGTGCACAGCTTCTTCACCTCGTCCACCGTGGGGTCCAGGCTCTGCTTGTACCTGGCCTGGGACACGGCAGTGTGACAATTGAGAAAAAGATTCGTGTTAGTCACAAAAGCGTCGGGGTTTGTATAAACCAGAATACTCAGCTCTGAAGTGAAGCATGGA